CAAGAATCGTTAAAAAAGAAAAGAAATGTTGAGGGGAGCGATCAAGAAGTAATTTTCAAGACTTTATGGACCAAAACATTCCTCTTCAGTTCCCCTTTTTAATGAATTAACTTCTTGTTTATTTACACCCATCTTTTTATTATTTATTAGCGCACTGTTGTTGTCTGGCCAATTAGGCTTTTTGGTTCCGTCTGTGGCCAAGCAACACCGAGTGTCACTGTACATGCAGCATTGATCATTCCAGCAAGGAGAACTAAGAGAAAGGAAGAAAGATCTACCATAACCGACTCAAGAAAAAAATCTGACAAAAAAGTACAAGGACGTTCACAGAACGCTAGCACATCTGGAGGATTGGCGGACAATGGAATGCAATTGTCCACCGACAGCCGTCACACGGGACAGAGAGCAATGCCGACAGCTTCGGATGGGAATATGGAAATAAGCATGGCGTCGGGAAGGAAGGAGAACGGCGCTTTTTTATGCTTCGAAGTGCTACAGAAAGCATCGCACGGAATATCGTTAATGCGCTGCACTGCACTGCAGCAGCCCGGCGATTGCATATTTGTGGACATTGCTCTGGAGCAACCGCTTGCTTGGATCGGCTGTTGCTTCATCGTCAAATGCAAAAAATATGCTGAAACGATCTCGCCTTGCAAAGGAAGGTACCAGGATCACCAGCAAGTGACGCAGCAACGCTCGCAGCAAATTTCACTGGCACAGCGAAAGTAAGAAAAGAAAGTGAACACGGCGAATTTTCGGCTCTTTTTAAGCAAGCAAAAAGTGGTTCAGTTGTTCATCACTCTCTAATTACCAGACCATAAAGTGATTCAGAATAACGTTTATTCTTGTAAACATTTCATTAAATGAGTCAGGAGAAAGTAGTCATCAGCCGAATGAGTAAGCGCTAATGATTTTTACGCATTCCTGCATCACTGATGAAGCGCACGAACAAACTGTCTGTGAGTGTGTGCATGTGTGTGTCGATCGGTACATATATATGCCTGATTGGTTTTATCTACAGTTAGCTCAGATTGTAAAAGACTTAGAAATTTGAACTTGAATGGCTGTTCGGGGAGTTCGACTGGTTCTACCAGCATGGAAAGGTTTTCGGGTTAAAACTGGCTCACATTAAGAATGACAGTCAACAAAGACACAAACTGTGGTTCTTTATGTGGGCACAGAGGAATGGATTTCTTAAATTGTTATTGATTTCAAAGTCCCCTTCCTGACCTTCACAGTGGTACAGGTTTGGGACACCGCGGCCTCCAAGTGCAAGTTTTAACACCAGCGACATTAACATCGGAATTCAAAGTAAACAAAAAAATTTAAATGTACGCGGAAACTTCCGCAGCACTTTCATCGCGCTGTGGGAAGATAACTATCTAGACATTGTCCAGGCAATCATTAGCGATGCGCACCGGGCGGGCCCGTGCGATCATGCGTTTTTGCAGTATTTCGTGCTGTAATGAGGTCGCTCGAAAACCTGGTAGCTAGGATTTGCGACACGCTGGTCCTCGAAGTTCGGGAAGTTAACTATCTACGCGGTACTTGGACAGGGGACATTCCGCTAAAATTTCAGCTTCCCAACTTCTCTCGTTCTAGAGTTGGCAATTTTTTTGCCAAAAAATTTCATGGGTTTGTATATGAAAACCACACGTATCTGGGAGATGAATTTGATATCTTTAACTTTTACAGGGGTTGGGAACACACCCTTAAAATTTCAGCTCCCAGCTTTCCTATTTCCCGAGTTAGTCATTTTTCTGCCAAAAAATTTGACGGGGCCGTACGAGAGAACCACGAATGCCTGAAGACTGAATCTAACAAATTTTTGTTGTACATGTGCTGGGAACATTCCCTGAAAATTTCAGCCTCCCAACCTTCCTGGCTCCCGAGCTAGCCACTTTCTCGCCAAAAAATTTCAAGAGGCTGCACGTGGGAACTACGCATTCCTGGGGCCTGAGAACTACGCAGTCCGATGACTTTAAGTTGTACATGGGCTAGGAACATTCCCTGAAAATTTCAGCCTCCCAACCTTCCTGGCTCCCGAGCTAGCCACTTTCTCGCCAAAAAATTTCAAGAGGCTGCACGTGGGAACTACGCATTCCTGGGGCCTGAGAACTACGCAGTCCGATGACTTTAAGTTGTACATGGGCTAGGAACATTCCCTGAAAATTTCAGCCTCCCAACTTTCCTGGTTCCCAAGTTAGCGATTTTTACGCCAGGAACCCTCACGGGTACCACGTCACACGCGGGTACCACGCACACCTGGAGCTGAACTTGAAATCTTTAAGTTCCATATGGACGGGGAACATAACCTCAAAATTTCGGCTTTCTAGCTTTTCTGGTTCCTGAATTAGCGATTTTCCCGCCAAAACTTTGACCCTCTTGCGCGAGGCCCAGAATTGCGTGAAGATTGGTACCGCGGTCCTGGGGTGGCACTTGGCTGGAGAATCCACTGGCAAAATTTTGGTGCCGGAGCCTGCTTAGGTCCGAGTTGAAATACCCGGACACACACACACCGGGGTCGTCGCAAAACACACCGGGGTTGTCGCAAAACATACCGGGGTCGTCGCAACATTCGCAACATATATGCAAAAACGCATAATAAGCGAGTTTACCGAGCCTGGTAATTTCCAGCAACACCCTTTGCGAATGTCCGACCTGGTCTGGATGGTAAATTGACGTGATTGTGCATATTTAGAGCAAATACAGAAAAATTTGGATGAGCTATGTCTAACATGAGCCGCTGTGTATTAATAGTTTAAGTCATTCTGGTTACTAGAAACAAATTATTATGCGTTT